AATTAATACAATTTTAATTTAATTTAATTTGTGAGTAATAGTACTCCTTGAGTAACATTTACATGGTGAAAATGACAAAAATAATTCCGCATATATTGGTTTAATCAAAATTAGTCTTTTAAAAATATATATATTTGAGTAGATTCAACTTAATCACAATTGAATTTTTTTACCGACGAGAGTTGCGGTGGATTGTACTCCTTCATCATTAATCAGATTTCTCGAGTTCAAACTTTGGGTATAGTCGATTTTGTTAGGAAGCACTTTACCTTCCAATGTGGACTTCCCAATTCAAATTTAATCGGAACTTAATGGGGATATCAAATATCGGACAAGAAATCAAGAAAAATGAACACTTTTGAGTTCTATTATATGTTTTTTGGTTTGTCACTTGGTATTCGGTNCGACTCCACACCCAAGCTCGAAAGACATTTAGGCCTCAATTTTTTTTAAGATTAAGACGTTTGAATCTGAATACACACCTGAATGTCAAGATGTGTATTAAGATTAAGACATCTGGATATATTAAGATGTGTTTTAAGATCTGAGTACTAAATAATTAAGACTGTTTGATTTTTAACATCTCGATATATAAAATTTATCTTTATTTGAAAATTAATAAACATAAAATTCAAATGAAATACTAACTAATCTAATATTCTATCAATAAAATATATAGTTTTTTAAAATATGATAGTTGTTGGTGGTGATGGCTAACAGGTGAATGCCGACTAGAGGCGGTAGTTGGTGGTAGTTTTGGTTGATGATGGTGTTTCATGCTAGTAGCTAGTAGTGATTGGTAGTGGTGGTGGCGATTATGATTAAAGATGATGGTGGTGGGTAGTGATAATTAATAATGGTGGATGGTGGTAGTAGTTGTGATTGAGGAAGATGGTGGGTGGGAGGTGGTAGGTTATAATGATGGACAGTGTCGACTGTGGTTATTGATGGTGATGGGGTGGTCAGTTGTGGTAGTTGAGGTGGATGAGTGTTGATTGTGAGTGAGAATAATGGTGATCGAAGTAGTGGGGATAGTGGGAGGTGATGGTTGATAATGGTGGCGGCTATGATTGAGGATGATGGTGGCGTGGCGGTGGTGGGGGTGGTTGAGTATGGTGGTGGTGGTGGCATGGTAGTAGTTGATAATAGTAGGCGGTGGCGGAAGTTAATAATAAATATATGATAGCATCTTAATGAAATTAAGTCTCTATTATAGATCTTAATTATACAGACCTATTAAGTGGTTGTGAAATAAAAAAAAAACACTTAATGATTAAGATTTGAATAATTAAGATTCATACTTTAAAAACAAATGAACTTAATGTCTAAGATCTGAATGATTAAGATTCAGACCTCCATTAAGTGCAAATAAATGAAGCCTTAATTAAGGATGGATGAGTACTTGACACTCTACTGCAACCCTTGTTGGTGAGTTCTGTTATATTTAATATCGTCTAACTTCATTCAAAAATGAAACTTGAATTTTTATATCCAAATAGAAATGACTTTTTCGAATTTGATCACTTCTCAGATTCTGTACCTATTGATTCTAGCAACTGATTGCGGAGTTGATCATTCGGACCATTCAATTCATAGATGTAGATCTCGGACCTAGGAATGGGGATATTTTCAAAACTCACACAGAAAAAAGGATTTTTCGTTTTTTGCACCCCGTTTTAATCTTGCAGCAATTTTAAAAATATATCTATAAGAATCCATCTTTTAGAAGAAAAATTATATATATGTCCAATCTCTAGTGATGGTGAAACCAATAAAAATGTATATCGTTCGACCCGACCTCAGACTCTTTCTTCCCGACCTATTTGACTGTCTAGCATAATGACAGTTGTTTTTAATGGAGTTGAATTTGAGAAGCACTTGAATATTTTAAACTGAAGAAATCATTTAGACGATCTTTTCTCAATTCATTTTCCCCCCATTCGCAACTTAAGAAAAATTCTAACTTTGATAGATAAGGGGAAGGTCTAAAGAAGGAAACATTGATTCATTAATTGTTTCATATAAATAGAAGGTAGAAAAAAGCATATGAATGTGTTCAATTAGCTTGAATATCATTTGTTTTTTAAGTTACAATTTGAAAATAAATCTTGAGATGTTTGTTCCAATGTTTTCTTTAGTTTAAGAAGCTCACATGCTATTCACGAAGATAACTATCGTCGTATTTTTAAAATGTGATAATGGAGACACAAGATGCTCAATATTGATAAACTTAAAGGACTAGGGCTACTCGAATCGTCGAACATATAAAGAACGTTGTTAAACCAGTACGTAAACATAAATGACTGCTTTTATTGTTTTATCCATTTGTAGGACACCATATATATTTTTGATAAATAAATTATTTTTATCACGATTAATTGAAGTAATTTTTTGTATGCTCTAATTGTACTAATTTTATTTCAAAAAAAGAAAGAAAAGAATCAAGTTTGGGTTAATTGAAAATTAGATATACTGACCACAGTAGTTCAAACTTCAAAAACCTGCCATTTTATTTTGAGTATATAAATGGAGTTGGTTTAGAAGTGAAAAATTTGATATCTTTAATATTATAATAATGGAGACAAAACCGCTTGTATTTGCGAATTTTTCTGTTGATTACGGAGCGGTCTGGTGCACTAAGCTCTCGTTATGTGCAAGAATCGGGAAGGACAGTGCACAAGGATCTATTGTATATAATGTTACTCTATATTTTTGCAAGAGGTTGTTTATGCGGCTCGAACCCGTGACCTCCTGGTTCAGTAAAAATAGCAAGAAGTACTCGTAGTTGTTGTGATAAAGAGAAAACCACTTGTATTTGCCATCAATTTCTCATTTGTAATCAGTGAGAACAGAAAGAAGCACCAGTGGTCTAGTGGTAGAATAACCCTGCCACGGTACAGACCCGGGTTCGATTCCCGGCTGATGCACTCTGAGCTGTGATGATTATTGCACATATTGTGAGACTTGGGTCTTCACAACTTTCTGGTGTAGGATGAAACTCTGTGCTTCTGAGCTCTGTTCTTTTATTATTTACTGTATTATTTTTCTAAAATTTGTCATTGTTTCAAAATAACTACATTTTCAATATTATTTTAATTCCTCCC